TGGTATCGTGTCATCCAGGTTCAGAATATTTCACACACAAATTAACTTAGACCCAATACACATTGATTCGGTAGTAATGACGAATTGTGTAATGAACAATTTTTTTTAATGGCATTGACGCCAAGATCATACGCGACTCCAGACTGTTTTGACAGTGAAAATGCAGATGATGGGATTACTATATCATACTTGAATACTGAAGATTCGAATATTGAACGATTGGACCCAAGAAACCCAGGAAATACCACAACTACTGCCAAGAGAATTAGAGAACGTTTTACTAATTATTTTATGAATGAAGGAAAAGTTTCATGGCAAGATAAATTTATACATTAATTTCTTGTAACTGTTGTCTAAATAAAATCTGTTGTAATACAATATATGAATAAATATAAAATTGCATACTTTACTTACCTGCGATTCATCGTCGCTGTCCAAATTGGAGTGAGAGGTCCTTGGCGTTTCTTGATCACTCAAAAAATCGAGGAGCTTAAAATACAACAATTTGGGCACGTAAACATAATCGGTTCCTGATCCTGATTTGGTTGAAGATTTGCTTCTGACGTTGATTTTTTAAAACACTTTTAATGTTGACAGCGGGATCGATTTCTTTAAGCTTTTCAACCAACTTTAAATAAGCTTCTTCTCTTTTGGCTCTGTCATGGTAGTCTTTTGACTTCACTTGCCAGAGAAAATGATCACTTTTGTACATTTCAATAAACTCATCTAAGCACTCACGATGGCTTTTCCGACACTCGGCGGTCATTATTCTACTGTCAGACTTGTTCTACGAAACATGTAAAGGAACTGAGCTCGTGGCCGGTATACCGGAGCAAGTCAATACACGCTCAGATATACCTGCGCAGTTCGTTCAGGCGCAGATATAACGATTGAAATGAACTATTTGTTCCGATCGCCTGCACAGGCAGAAATAACTGAACAGTTTTATCATCTACACGTTGAGGTATACCTGAGAGGCGCGTCTGTTCAGGCATACCTGACAGGTATACCTGTACGTGTGTAGCCGGCTTTACACATCGCGCATTTAGGTGCCACGACTGCTCGCGCTACCTCTACTAGCGGGAGAACGAACACAGTACTGCTTCTGTCCTAAAGAAACTGTACGTGCGGTGGAGGGTCAGGGTTTGAATCAGAATCAACTCGTGGTCGTCGATGGTAGCGCTATCACCATTACAGGGTCAAATTTCGAGAGATAAACCGTACTGGCGCGCATATTACAAAGGAAGGAATTTGAAGTATTCTGCATTTATTTAATTAACTAAATGTGCATACATATTTTCGGGACAGTCTGTATTTCTTACTGTTTACTTGAAACTTGAATTACAAGCACTGAACTTAATTTATTATCTCCTCAATGATAATCAATGAAATAAAAGCACTAGAAATCAATACCATGATATTATAAGGGCAAAATAAATGACATTCAAGACTGAAGCATCAATACACGACCCTAGACTACGGCCTGTAGGCTAAAATATCACATAAGCGTACCAGCCTACAAGTTGCGAAAATGAATCTCCCATTCATGTTATTTCAATACATGCCGTATTTTCATGTTAAGAAAATAAAAAGCTAATTTGATCACTGCAACATGTTTAATGCATTCTGATGACCGTTCTCGGAATGAGCGATGGGTGTATCTTCTCAGTGCATCTGGGACATGTTAAATTCCTGACACGTCTCCCGAGTTAAACGCCATATTACGGAATCACATAAGATAATAAATTAATGCAACATGGCAACTTCCGCACAACGTACGTTTATTTAGTCAGCAGTGGTTTTCATTTTTATTTGCTCTGTATGAAGCATCCCTTCTGCTCGTGTTTCCTGTTTTCAATAAATTCCCTAACTGTCAACAGTGGACCAGAAGTCAAGAAGTGCGTTTGCCAGAATCGCTCTCTCTGCTGGAACATAAGTATACCTAGACGCCACAGTGGTCTATCGGATAGAACGCTGGCCTTGTAATCCTGGGGGCTCGGGTTAGGTTCCCGGCGGTGCCCGAATTTATAACTTGCGTTGGGCAAGGCCGTGGTCTAGGCAACACGGAGTTTTCCTCCGTGGCATCCCAACAATTACTCCATTCACACACAGAAGAAGGCAATGGCAAACCACTTCTGGATCATCTGCCAAGAACGTATATGAACAGGTCCCAGTCCGAGAAAAGGATGGAAGGATCCTGTTCATATGGACCTGTCGTCAGACAGAACACTAAATAATAAATAAGTATGCCTACGGATACACAGAATAAAGCCGCTCGGAACGCAACCAGTTCTCACAGCCTCTAGAATATCGAGATTTCATCCGTAATAAATAAAATTATAAAATAATGTTCTCTTTGAAAGGGGCACATGCACACACACCGACTCGCTGTAAGAAATGCATTGAACATTACAAAATGTATAATAAAGTTTCCACACAACAAGTCTCTTGCATCAGTAGGCCTATCATAATGAGCTGAATATATAAGTAAGATAGATTTATGGGTATCAGAACACGAGCAGTAAGGAGATACTTCTGATAATGACTAAAATATGGCGACTGATGCAATTTAATAATGATCCACTAATCACTGTCTCAGTTTCTGTAACGCATCTGCAGTCAGGCGCTGATAAATCTGCAGTTCATTTCACCACAGAAATTAAACTACACGTCCCAAGCCTTCGACCTCTCGATCGACATCATGCATCGAGTTCTTATCGAATTGTCATTCATGTACCAACTTTCTCGAGTAATTCCGTAATTCGATATTTAAAAATAGCATTAAATTCTAAAGGGTTTTAACGACTGTAGTTTACACTTAAAATTATTCACTGTCACGAATTTTTCCATCGTCTGTTCTTTAAAACCACGACGTTTCGGAGGCTGGTTCTGTCTCCGTCTTCAGGTGAGAGGTACCTAATCTGTTGGGGGTCCCTTAGATAGAGCTAGTCTCTGTCACTGGACTGGAAAAAGTCCTGACAATTAATAATTTTAAATAAAAATTACATTATAATAACGTCATTCCTCTCTATTCAAATTATATTTAATCTTAATTACTAATGCCACCTTGCGTTCTGGGCCAACAACTACAGCAGTAACCATTAACTTTGCAACGTTCTCGTTTTACCAATTAATGGTCCAAAACCTACATCACAGATCATGCTATTATCTTCCTGTCATTATAGCAAATATTACATCCTAATTATTAAAAGAGCACCACCTGTTCTAGAACACGACTACCAATTACTGTCTACTAGCTTACACAAATTCTACTTCAACTTTCCATAATTCTGTCCTGAGGTTTTAGAATTGGACGTTTGGCATATTTGCTTTAACTGACAAAGACTTTGATATGTTTAAATGTTTCCCCTTGCCTCATGCACACATATTTACGTAAAAAATGACGCCCAGAACTACGTCCATGACTGCTGAAGTGTGTTCTGTTTTATTTTTTAATTAACATGATCAGTTTAAATTGTATGTTCCGGTATTTACCATAATTTTCATGAAAAAAGTAGCAATATTCCATTCTCACTAAAATTTTGGTTTAACCATCACTTTTTCGCAGTGTAAAATCAACTCCTTCTCATACAATATGGTGTCTGATTCGTTATCTGACCTATTCTTCCTTGCCTTATACGCCACTGGTCGCGTTTCGTAAATTAAGTTTTATGTACTGAGGTAGCAACTCAAAATTTAATTTACGATAATATTAAGAGCTGATTAAATTATAGGAATGTTTGCCACCGTAAGATTAAAATATATCTGGTGTAGCATATGGAAGCGATGAGAAATTGTCACACAAAGATTTAGTACGAAAATTGAAGAGAAGAGTAATCTAGGCGGAGAAGTGAGGATAATATTAAAATAAATCTTCGGAAAATAAGAATGGAGGAGATGAAGTGGATTTACCTGGAACAGGATACGAACCAAAATGGCTGTCGTGTGGGTTCAAGCACCGTTACAGTCCGACGGACGTTTATCAGCGTTTCACAGTTAATTACTGCCTCCATCATCAGGGACTTATTGTCCTGATGATAGAATTTCTTTACTAGCTGAGCTATGGCTTGCTTCTAAAAGAACTCTGTTCCATCGTCTTAGACAAAAATATAGTAATGGAATGAAATAAGGAACCAGTTAAGAACTTCAATACGTTTACCCCTGGAAAGTGTGATAAATATTGAGGTGAGGAGTTGAAGTAGGGGCTGATATAAACGAGGGATGAAAAATACGGAAACTGAACGTGAAATTTCATTATAAGGGTTACAGGTGTGGACAGTAGTGGTGAGGGTAAGCAAGACAGTAGAAGCGAAATTGGTGTGGAGTTGTGTCACATAAAAATTTAAACAGAAGACTAAATATAAAAAAAATAAAATAAATACTAATGGATGACGCAGCCCAGATGAGATTCATATTTTTTTCTCCTATCTTCACGAACCACGTCAATGCGGTCGTGATGCAGACGTGACGATAATGTAGAACACTGTAAAGACATTACATAAATACGACATGAGCTCTAGTTAAACAGAATTAAACTCGCTGCAAGTACAAAGTGATTTCCTTATTATCATCCAATACTTTAAAAAAAAACCCGACGTCAATATAACGTAACGTTAAGAATCCTTCACAGATTTTTCCACGATACCTTGGGCACATAGTTTAATAAACCTGAAGACGCTTAATGTAACGTCTAAGAAAGTCACAAACTTTGCGCAAAGGAACTCGCTCGTTTGCGCAAATTTCGTAAGATTCGATAAAACCTCATCGGAGATGGTCTAGAACATGGTGTTCAACCCGGGGTACGCGAAGACATCTTAGGGGGTAAGTAAAATTTAAAACAAAAATTATTTTATGATAAACACTGAATAATCAGTAATGTAATTTATTTAATTTATTTTAGTGTTATCCTCACGTTTCCTTATTGGTCTTAAAATTGACTTTTTTTAAAAAGGATATACCACAGAATTTAGTATCGTAGGTGACTTATGCATTGACGACGTTAGTATCCCGCAGTATGAGAAATATAAATTACCTTAATCCATTCGATGTTTGGTTCCGACTCCGTCTTAAGATCTTGTTCCCTGAGAACGTCTGGAAGTCCGTCTCGTGGGCTAGAGGCAGTGGTGGACCTGCTGGAGGAACGAGGCCCTCGGGTGTCGGGTGTCTGAATCCCTGTCTCTGGAACAGATTTGAAATTTGGAAAGTCGAAGGTGGAGGAGTCACGTGGTACTCGGGGGATTTCTGCAAATGCACAGTTTCTCGCTTTGGAGATTGCTGAAGTGTGAAATGTTGTCTCGAGTTGTCTTCCTGGAACTTGTTCCTCGTGTCGTCATTTTGGAAATGGAACTGATTTCTCGTTCTGTCTTCTTTGAAATTAAACTGGTCCCTGTGTCCCTCGACCAGAAATTTATTGCTGGTCGTGTCACTTTGAAACTGTCCCCCTGAGGTTATTTGTTTGGTGTTGAACTGGCCTCTTATTCCTTTGTCCTGGTTAAAAGTGTGACTGAAACTTTCGTCGTGAAACTGTTCAGAATTTGTAAGTAACGGCGGTCTTAAATTAGAATCCTCCGCGAACTCTGCCTTGAATCCTTCGTTTGGTCTAGGATTTTGTTGCTGGATTCCGTGATCTTCAACAGCAAAATCAGCTCCAGGGAAGTGTTCCGGGTGTGGAGAGGTCTCTTGTGACTCCGTTCCTCGAGGCGGGAAGTTAAAAGAGTAACCTTGAACATGGCACGAACAGCAGGTGGGGACCTGAAGCGGAAACAGACGGCAAATTTTTGAAATTCGTCGAAGTATTCCCAATTCGTTAGCATGTGATATTATTAAAATAAACTCAACTTTTTAATAATATTCTCAATGTAAAAATTACAGCAATAAACGACAAAGAATTACTATGAACAGTATGTAACTGACATAAAAGTAATTTAATAAATAGAAACTTTTAAGGCCTTGTCAACATCACTTGGTTCTAAATCACTAAAGCTGACAACTACCTTCCGTCTAGTATCGAGATTAAGAATGCGTGGAGCTTTACCTCCATTACCCACGTGTTTTCAGTATCGTGGCCCATAACTGTCTTATTGAGATTTGAAATTAATGTTAGTAACACTAGACGTCCATTGGCATTGGTTCAAAGGGTGATTGTCTTGATAGAAGTGCGTCGTACCTTGAATATGTCCATGTGCAGACCTTTCGCGTCATCCCATGTCAAAAGTCTGTGGTAATTGTAAACTTGTGTGCACTCAGATCTGAAGTTATCAGAAATAAAGGTGCACACTTCATTGGGTCTTCTGTAATATAAAAAATATAAATAGAAAATTAATGTCCTTCTTAGACGTGAACACCAAACAACATTGTAATATTCTGTTCTGGTATAGTCTAAATCAGTGGTTTTCAACCGGGGGTACGCGAAGACATCTTAGGGAGTACGTGAATTTTTTTAAAAAAAAAATTATTTTATGATAAACACTGAATAATCAGTAATGTAATTTATTTAATTTATTTTAGATGTAGATTATATACTGTGTATAATTTGAATTATACACCAACAACTTTGGGGGTACAAAGTTAAAGAGAATTTATATCTGGGGGTACGCGAATACATCTTAGGGGGTACGTGAAATTTAAAAAAAATATATTATTTTATGATAAACATTGAATAATCAGTAATGTAATTTATTTAATTTATTTTAGATGTAGATTATATACTATGTATAACTTGAATTATACACCAACAACTTTGGGGGTACAAAGTTGAAGAGAAATTATATCTGGGGGTACGCGAAGACATCTTAGGGAGTACGTGAAATTTAAATATATATATTATTTTATGATAAACATTGAATAATCAGTAATGTAATTTATTTAATTTATTTTAGATGTAGATTATATACTATGTATAACTTGGATTATACACCAACAACTTTGGGGGTACAAAGTTGAAGAGAAATTATATCTGGGGGTACGCGAACAAAAAAAGGTTGAATACCACTGATCTAGAAGAGCATCAACTTCTTGACTAAATTGCACCTTTCAGGGATTGGACGACGTGCGGACATTTCTGAAACACCCTGTCTTTCATATAACTCCATAGAAAAGTCACTATTTTTGAACGGTAAGCTATGACTTTCAAACACTCTATCCATGCCGTTTTCATCAATTCCAATGGTGATTATATGAATTATTATTATTATTGCAATTTTTTCCCCTGTCGTGAGAGCAAACATCGATGAGAAAATGGCCAAGGCCCACCAGAAGCGATGTCAAAACCATGACGACGTACCCTCTCCGTTTCGCCTGAAGACGACAGTCTTCTAGGACACTTTGTCGTCTTGTTTCGCAGACATTTACCGACATTTCAGAGATGTTTACTGTCTACGTCATCAGGACTCCCTTATCATGGAGGCAAGAGGCACTTCCGAAACGTCGATTAATATCTACCACACCACATGGCGCAGCATCCCACAAGCCAACCATATTGATTTTTTTTTATAAAAATCTGATTCTGTCGATTCCCTTCGACAGAGACGTGTCTACTCAAGGCCACCATCACTAGGGGAGTCAGCCCCGCGTGTACGAAACTTTTTCAAAACAAGTAATACGGATAACTCTGTTCGAGAGGATACGGGAATACAAACAACAACGATGTTTCGTTATCGGGTTTCTAGTCCAAACAAACACTAGGAGTCCTTTCCGAGACCAGGGTTCGAACCCGGCCAGCAAACGGTTACAACAGAAACTTCAAAGACATTCTCCTCGCAGTCGGGAAATGAATTCGGGGACGTGATTAAGTATAGAATTTCCTCTTCGCCTGGCTTATCACCTACACAAATCCATTATAAACAAGGAAGAAGTTTCAGTCCGCCATATTGGTTGGATCCACACACCCAGATGGGAGCAGGGGACGAGCTCTTTGAGTGACAGACCTGTTCAATAGATGTCAACCGTAGGCGGGGACACGAAGCGACATCTCCAACCTTCAGCTGTGCCTCGCCTCTGAAGCTTGCCTGATTGAATTTTAATTTCCTATGTTAAAAAAACACACACACACACACACACACACACACACACACACAAGTTAGGTGTCAAACAGTGTCCCTTCACACAGCGCGATAGGTTCTGACTTGACGTTTTATCCTTTAACGTCCAACCTACGTTGGATGGGTAAGCAAGGAGGTGGCACAATCTTTAAACTACGAAAAGCCAATATTTATTGCTGTCATGTTCTCTTTTATTTCCCTCCGTCCCCGCGTTTTTAATATTAATAGTAAAAATGGCAGTTTAATAATTGGTTTTCTGTCGAAAAACACACACAAGCTTCTAAAATATCAGTTCCCTTCCATCTACGAGAGCACAGAATATAATATAAAAGCACGAATTTACATGTGCAGCAGTGGCGGGTTTAATTTGGAGCTTATACCAAACGAAAACCAAAAGTCGTATCAAAAGTACTTCACAGAAATCACGTTTCTGATAATTACGTCATATGGCAGAACATGAACAACATTTAATTAATAAGAATTTATACTAATTTGCAGGATTTGAGGTTTTCATGGCGGCATCAGGGTGATCGCCCTGATGATGGAGGCATCAAGGACCTTTGAATCGTTGGTAAACTTATACCAGACTAGTGCTTGCCACCTGTGTGTACGCTGCCACTGTAATTTCTTTTTTGTATCTTATATGCGTCATGTTTGTGTTTGATTAAATATATTTATTTTGTACAGTCTATACACAAACGTTTGAAGTTTATTGGTGTTGTAAAAAATTATATAATATTAAAACATTTTATTGTGCAAAATATTATATTATATATCGTTTACTATTTTAATATATATTTATACGATTATTTATTTATTTATTTCCTATGTCAATTCATACTCATTCCAAGAAAATAATTAAACATTAATTCCACAGATAAATATAACGTCTGACTACAATAAGCAACTTACCATGAAAATGGAAAGCTACAAACAGAACTACGGATCATTATAATATATTGCATCAAATATCTAATAGTTTTTAAAATATTTTAAATTGATAAAAACCTGAAGACGACGGTATTACCCGTCGAAACATGTCGTTTTAATAAAAGCGCTAAAAATTTTATTGTTTCCAAGTCCTGACATTACGTGGTTTAAAATTACTTTATTTTAAAATTGATGAATTAGGAGGATGTAGCGGGGACCTGCGTTGACGACACATCACACAGCAAAATTACACGTTAGAGAAATTAATCAGCGATTTTATTTCACAATCTGCACTGCTCTGTGAAAGTTAAACGTCGTGTATATTTTAAGTCTACTTTTCCTGGTAGGATAATTTCAATTCAGCAAATATGGAACAGCAAATTCAATGAAAGCGACAGGACGATGGGGGGGGGGG